TAGGACTCTTTTTCATCTAGTGGTCCAGGACGCTCTGCTTTTGACATTTTCATCTCAACACATGGTCTTTGAGATAGTCACAGTATGGGAAAAGAAAATTGGAGGGTCATGTATTGTCTTTTAAATGCCTTGACTCCTAAGTAACACATGCCACTTATGTTCATGTTTTCTTGAAGAAAACTAGTAAGCTCTCCCTGCCAACTGTAAGGAGGTTGGGAAATAAAAGGAGCCTCATGGAAAATCTCATTAACACTATTATCCCTTATATAGCATAGTTGAGGGTAAGCTAAGGTTTAAAATGCTTGCAGAATACAGAACACTCATTTGCCCTTGCAAGCCAGAATCCATCCGTTATTTTGGAAGTGCTACGGTCGCACCCTGTGTGGGGTGCTAAAGATAAAAATCACAAGTAGGGATTCTGTTGTAACGTGTTTAATGCCCAAGACATCACAGAAATCAAATGGGGTGAGTGGATCTGCTTTGTTTATTCATTCATCTATCTGTTTATTATATAACCTATGGAGTAGAAAAATAGCTACTGGTTAATTGTCTAATTACTCTTCTTTCAGATTTGTGCTTAAATATTTCCTTCTTCGAGGTACCTTTCTCTGAAGGGAGGAGAGAACCTCCACTTTGACTATGACCTTGTCTAAACAAGATAAGAGTCGGAGAACTCAGAGGGCTTCCATAGCCTTGAAAACTCATGACTGGAGCATAGGGAGATTACTGATGCCATAGACAGGAGTGTCAATTGGTAAAGTCAACAACAGGAGTCACTGTGCACTTACTCCTCATGTAGGATCTCTAGCCTTAATGTGCTGTACATTGAGATGTAATGCTATAACGAGTACTCAAACAATATATTTCACTTTGTGTTTCTATGGGGGTGCAAACTGTTGAAATCCTTACTTAATCCATACTAAACTGATCCTCTGTAGATAGAATAAAAAAAAGAATTATCAATTCCCAACTTGTCTCTCACTGGGATTAAACATGACATAGGTCTGCTCTGATTTCATCATCATTTAAAAAAAATCATCTATTATTTTTCACTTTATGTTTCTGTGTGGGAGCAAACTGTTGAAATCCATACTTGATGTATACTAAGCTGATCTTCTGTATATTAAGATAATCAAAAATGAATCTTGATGTGAATGGAAGGGGAGAGGGAGTGGGAAAGGGGAGGGTTGTGGGTGGGAGGGATGGTATGGGGGGGAAGCCATTGTAATCCATAAGTCGTACTTTGGAAATTTATATGCATTAAATAAAAGTTTAAAAAAAAACAAAACAAAAAAAAATATTTCCTTCTTCATGAAGGATTCTTGATCACCTCTTAGTATTGTACAATACTCAAGTATTCCTTCTGTTTGTCTCTATTTTTCTCCAAATGCTTAATACTATATATATATATATATATATTTCTTGTCTATTGTTTTATTTCCCACAATATATTGTAAGTTCAAAGAGGCCAATGTACTTTTTTTTAATTTGGTGCTATTTTATAATTTCCTTAATAATAGTTGGAATATAGTGTGCTCAATAAATGTTTAGTGAAGTATATGAATGAAGACCATTATGAAAAAAATGAAGGTAGAAGTTATGAACTATGTGATGTTAGGAGAGAACAGAACTTTCAAATGTAAAGAGGGTAAAGTGAAGCTTGATGGCTCAACAGGATATTGGGCACGCTCATGTGCACAGAGGCTTTCTGGAAAGAGCAAAAAGAACAAAGCATGGTATCAGCATTCTGATGTGTACGTCAGTAGACGGCTGAGAGATGGGTGGATGAATCTAGGGAGAGCAAAATTATACTCTGCACCCTTAATAATTGCATAATTTGCTCTTAAGCTCTAGTGTGTGACATGAAATGACTATATTTAAGTCAATCAGAAAGGTTCAAAAGACTCCCCCGCATTCCACAGAGTGGGAATGCTGGGATGATGTGCAAACTTCCTTGTTGCAGCCTGCAAATGTTGCAGGAACTCATCAGAGGGTTGGTAAGCTCAAAGTGGAATGCAGTTTATAAATATGGTGTTATTATTGTTTATTTTATTGTTTTAAGAGATTCTCCTTGTGTAGGTGAAGAGTGTCAAGGAAACACCAATGAGTTGGCCAGAAATGATAAAACATTAGCATCCTTCAAGAGCCAGTACAAATATTGCCTTCTTCCCTGATCATTTCACTTTCTGCATCTAGGGCACAGCAGTACCCTCTACACATTTCTCTTTGGTATATAAGTGAATTTGTCAAAAGATAATTAACTGGATGCTTGGTGTGAAAAGTGAATTATTTTTTAAAATATAGATATTTCAATTATAATGCATACAGAAATGCATGGCTTTGCTAACAGTTTTCAATAAATTCTCCTGCTTTTTATGATCCAGTACCTAGAACATAATGGCAACACAATAGGAGTTCATTGCCTGAAATTTTAAACTTATATATGTGGGCAAAAACATCACTACTAATATCTCCTTTGACAGTAGTGTTCCTAAATCAGAAGCCTGGACAGGAGCAGTCCAGAAGATGGCAACACATCGAAGAGCACCAAGAGATCTGTTCACTTTTTTATCATTTGCTGCTCATAGACAGTAGATATGTATTAACTGGTTTTATTTTTGCACTAGAATTTTGTGGCCTTTGTGCAAGTGGTAGAAGTTAATTGGTAGCTAACTTGCTTTGATGACAATGTTGGTATGCTTGAGGGACGCATCTTTGTAAATTGCCATATCTGTGATATGCTTTACCATGGCTGGGTTACTTACAGATTGTCATTACACTCCAGCAGCATTCTGCTCTGCCGTGTGCAGATGATGGGCTAGAAACTCGGGCACTTCCTTTCTAACAACATTGATAGTAACTATGCATACGCAGTGTCTGTTTTCATGGTAGTGCCAAAAGAGAAAGAACCCAAGAGAGACCGCTCAACCATTCGAGCATTTTCTGTGAAAGTAGGACAAAGTGGTATGATTTCAAAGATGCTGTTAAGGGCAGACTGCTTACCAAGAGGCACTGAAGAGCACATCCATTAGACATGAACTTTTGTTAGATCTACTAGGAGGCTTCTCTCTGAAGCAGGTCAATAATGTTGTTTTCAGGTTGCTTTCTGCCTGACAGTAGTTACTTACAACAGGTTTGCTAAATCCCAAGGAACTGGGTTCCCCTGGGTGCATGGAGTCCAATTTTGAAAACACTTGACTATTTTATTTCCAACTTCAATGCTGACTAGAGCCTGGGAAGAATTGATCCTTTCCTCGGGGTCTTCATCCTCTCATCTTTAAAAAGTGAACTTTGTCACATGTGAAGTTAGGCTTGCTAGTTAAATCTCACTTTGATAATTTTGAAAACCCAGGGAGCATATGATGGGGATAAATACACAGAAAAGATGGGTATTTCAAGGTTTCATGGTGTAGTATATGGGAATTTAGGTTTTTCAGGAAGGTGTTCAGTGTTAACCATTTAACCATGCAGAGTTCGCTTCCTTGCTCCAGGCTCCAAAGTATGGAAAGGAATCCTGAGAAAGTGACATTTATATTTATCCATGTTCCCTATTTTACTTTATTGTCAAGGAATGAACCAGTATATATATATATATATATATATATATCTCTATCTCTAGCCACCCACACACACACACACATATATATACGTATATATATGAAACATTTTCACTATTAGAGCTTGCAGTATACAAGCTATTAAGCTGTGTACAGCTTAATTAAAAACAGTAACTTTGGTTGAAATATTTATTCAAAATATTACCCTTCAGCCTTTCTTCTTAAGAAGATGTAGGGGCCTGCGCTTTGGTGCAGCGAGTAAAGCCGCCGCCTGAAGTGCCGACATCCCATATGGGCACTGATTCGAGTCCCAGCTGCTCCACTTCTGATCTAGCTCTCTGCTGTGGCCTGGGAAAGCAGTGGAAGATGGCCTAAGTACCTGGGCCCCTGCACCCGCCTGGGAGACTTGGAGGAAGCTCCTGGCTCCTGGCTTCAAATCGCTGCATTTCCGGCCATTGCACCTTTCTGGGGAGTGAACCAGTGGATGGAAGACCTCTCTCTCTGCCTCTGCCTCTCTCTGCCTTTCAAGCAAATAATTAAATCTTTAAGAAAACAAAAGAAGGTATAAAGTCTATGGTTCAAACTTTCTCAGGAACTAAGGATGCAAATTATGAACTTACACAAGTGTTATGCAGTGGTGAGCTCCCTGGGTCATTTGCATCCCTGCCCTGGGATCCATAAAAGCGCAGACCTAAGCATTTCCTTCATCTCACCCAAACAATTGCTTCATAATTTCTAGAAGATTTATGTGGATTTGTATGTCCACGAAGAAGTTGTCCTCTCTGCAAGAAGTCCATGTCCTAACCAGTGCACTCTGCCAAATGCCAGATAACCATGCTTGTGTCCTTGATGCATGTGCTAAAGAGGATCCATCTTCTCCATCAACCATCAGAGTGCCACATACAAAATTCATGGAAAACAGATTTTGTATTACAAACATCTTGATGTTGAGCTACAGTAACAATTATCATCCTTGCTGACTTAAAAATGTTTTCTGTTAAATGAACTGAATTGCATGGTGGTTAATTGACTAGTGAAAATCCACATGTTAATTTTCCATGATCTTATATTTCCCTCACAAACCCCTTGAATGTTTGCTACAAATTTGCTGCCTTGGGTTCGGGTATCATTAGTCACCTTGAAAGTTGCCATATTACCCATCATACTGAATAACCTAAACTGTGTATATAAACTTCCTTGGGCAGACACACAATGTAATATCTGAACCTGACATTTGAGACTTCATTTTTTTTATCCAATTACTTTGTAACTGGAAAGAATAAAAGCAATTAGCAATGTGAAATGTAAAAGTAGTTAATAACCATAAACACATGTTAACCCCTTGAAAAGGCAGTTCCCTCCTTTAGTCACTCACTTCCTACCAGACCCTCAATCTTGGTTATTATATTCTTTAAATTCCAAAACTGCAAACATGGCACTTACTCACAATATGATGTATTACTCCAAACCGAAGCTCTGCTGAGTCCCTCTAGTTCATTGTTGATAAAGTACCTGTGAGATCACCATTACATTTCAACAAGATACAAGGTTCCAGAGTATGAGCAAAGTAAAAACAATCTTGGCTGTAGGAAAGAAAGAAAAGAAAATGAATTGCCCTCCAATTTTGAGCCCAGTACATTTGGCAAAATTAAATAAAAAATACATTGGGAGTTATTGTGTAGAATGTCACATTTTGTGTGTTTTTAAAATCCAAATAAAAAATTATGTTATCATACATGAAAAACCCTTTCCAAAAAAATAAACCACAAAACTCCTTCTTTTCCAGTAGAATTCTAAGTTTTTTCCTCATTATTATGAGGAACAAATGTGGTTGCAAATTAGTGAAGTCCTTCAAGGTCCTGTACGTTGAAAAAGTTTGGAGACTGGAAATTTACCAGGAGAAAAGAGAAAAAAATTAAACTAGGGGGAGCCCAGTAGTAATAGCCATAATACAAACAGAGAGTTGACCTTGAGAGGGGCAACTTAGGAGATGCCCCAGTAACGTATGAATGTCAGTAATCACCCCTGTGGACCAGCATTGTGACATAGAGGGTAAAGCCACAGCATTTCTATATGGGCATGGTTCAAATCTCAGCTGCTCTACTTCCTATCCAGCTCCCTGTTAATGCTCCTAGGAAAGCAGCGGAAGATGGCCCAAGTTCTTGGGCCCTGGGCCCATGAGCAAGAGCTAGATGAAATTCCTGGCTCCTGATTTCAGCCTAGCCAAGCCCTGGCTGTTGAGGCCATTTGGGGAATGAACCAGAGGAGATCTCTCTCTCTCTCTCTCTTACTTTGCCTTTCAAATAAATAAAATATTTTTTTAAAAAAAATCATCCCTCACTACAAATTACTCTGAATTTCCTTAGCAGATTTTATGAACTGAGTGTTGTGTTTTTCAAATAGGTGGAAAATATTTTATCAACAGACATCATTTATATACTTACATTGGAAAAATAAAACAAGCAAAAATAAGTACATACCAGTTGGTCACTGGGTTTCTTCTCATGTTAAGTACCTTAAGAAGTCAGTGGTGTCCTCGATGAATTTTCTGGGGGGATGAAGCTTAGTGGAAAAGGGAGGCAAGCAGTTTAGTCAAGTGGGCAAAGGATAGGAATGGTAGTAAAGAACTTGAGGAAGGGAAAGGGGAGAAAAAATGGAAAAGCAAAATACCCCCAATTCAAAGGATACGTTTCTGAGTTATTTACAACCAGGAACTGTACTGAATAAATATGAGTGACAGTTTGGTACTAAAAGGAAGCTAGAGTTTACATTATGAATAGAGGGAGGGAGGGTGGAGGGAAGGGAGGGAGGGATGGAGGCAGGGAGGGAAGGATAATGAGCAGGAGGGAGCGAGGGAGGCAGACAGAAGGACTCCACTTTTTCATCTTGATTTGCCCTCGACTTTGTCCTTCCCTTAGTTGCTGATCATGCTTGAGTTTAACTTCAGGATCCATATGAACGTATCAAAAACCACTTTCTGGAGTCCAACACATCTGTAATCAAATTCCAGTTTTTCTGCTGATCAGTTGGATGACCTTGAATAGTTCAAAACCCTAAGACTTAATTTTCTCATCTATAAAATAAATATGACATCAGTCATCTGAAAATTTAGTATATAGACTGAAAAAGAAAGGATTGATACTCATTTGAGATATAATAATCTGATCTTTAACTTAGATATACTAGGAAAAAATCTGCCCACAAATGAATTTTATTGATACATGCAAATTATTTTTAGTTATACAATTATCCTTATCTATGGGTATAAATCATAGAGGATTCAATGATATCCAGGAAAGCAGTTTCTGAATTCTTGATCTCCTAAGTGGTAAGTGTTTGTGTTGGGGTTTTGATCATCAAGAATAAACACATGGAACCAAGTGAAGGCCCTGTAAGCACATTTTCTTGAGTATTACCCTTTCTTCATACTGACAGCCTCTTTATTTTTAGAATCCTGGAACAAAATCTATGGGACCAGCATTGTGGCATAGTGGGTTAAGCCACTGCCTGCAATGCAAGTATCCCATGTGGGTGGCAGCTGGAGTCCTTGATAGTCCACTTCCAATCCAGCTCCTTGCTAATGTGCCTGGAAAAACAGTGAAAACAGCCCAGGTCCTGAGTCCCTGAACCCACACAGGAGAGCCAGATGAATCTCCTGGATCCTGGCTTTGGCCAGGGAGTAAACAAACCAGTGGATGGAAGAGCTCTCTCGCTCTTGCTTACTCTCTCTCTCTCTCTCTCTCTCTCTCTCCCTCTCTCTCTGTGTGTGTGTGTCTCTGTCTCTATAACTGTAACTTTCAAATATATGTGTAAAAAAATAGTGTTATGTGCTAGAATCCTGTTTCATCACAGGAAATGGTATGGCAGGTGATGATAATTAAATCAGAGTTTGGATCTACTTGTACTCATTCAGGAAGCAGGGCTCTACTTTAAAGTTTGAATGTTTAGCTTAATGTAAACTATGAATAGTCCAGACTCACTGGCAAACACATGGGCTGTCAGAGTTCTTCAACAGTATTACCTTATGGAGCAGTCAGTTGTGCATAAGTCCCCAACTGTCACTGACTTATTAACTCTAGTAGGTAAGATCTTATGGCACTACTTATTCACCTTAATGACATTACACAAGATAACTCATGGCTCATACGAAGCAAACGCATCCCACCCTCCCTGCCTCACTTCCTTCCTTCCTCTACCAGCCTCAGAACTGGTCAATGTCTGCCATATCACTGTTTGGTTTGGATCTAATTCTCCTTTTGGAAAAAAAATCTGTGATGGTATTATTTTTGGACACATTTACTACTGACAATATTGTGTACAATGTTAAGTCTTTGAGACATCTGGACTACATAAAACATATAGCTATATGGTGAAAAAATAGATGAAAACAGAGATATTGTTGAAGGTCATTATGCAAATTAACATAAACCCTCTGTCAGGAGGAAGGACAACAAAGAAGAAGCCAAGGAAGGGAAGAAATTTGTGAAAGCTGAGAAATGTCCCATTGTCCTTTCCCACTCATTGTCCTGCTTTAAAATGTACAGGCCAGCTCTAGGGCAGAGCTTGTGTGTGTGTGTGTGTGTGTGTGTGCGTGCACCTGCACACTGTTGGCGTAGTCCCATTCTGAATCTGGAGGGCGGCAGTATAGTTCCTACTGGGACAGTGGCAGATTTTCTGTTTGATTCTGAAGACCACAAGGAACTAGTAGTCTGGAGCACATGGGCAGAAGACGTTCCCTCTCAATCCCCAGAGGGTTGGACCTTAGTTCCACTCAAGCCCTCAGCTGACTGGATGACAGTGTCTCAACCATGTTGGGGAACACAATTTGTTTTTCTGAGTCCATAATTCAAATGTATACCCTCAGCCAAGAATATCCTGCCTAACACACTCAGAATAATGTTTGGCCACAAGTCTGGGCACCCTTTGGCCCAGTGCAGTGGATATATAAAATTAACTCTCACTGTTACAAAGAGGCATGGACATCAATCAGCAGTGGATGACACAAATGATCTATAGCCAAGGAAAAAACATGAATTCCCCTCCCTCAGAGTGCATTCTGTGCCAACGCCATGAGTTTTGTTTGCCTTGGTTCACCATGCTATGAAACCGCCTGTTCTCTTTAATGCAATTTTTATTTCCACTTTTTTCCCTTTACAAATGGGGCCTGGATGTAAGGCTTTAGCTTGAAACATTCCAGTTTCTCATTTTTGGTCTTATTAATCTTTTGCTGACCACTCAGTGCCTATCGTGAGCCTCCAATGGAGATGACAAAAGCTGTCTCAGCAGCAGCATGTTAAAGGCCAAGGAGAAATGTCTCTGAAGTGTGATTTGAATGCTTTAGTTTTTCAGTTGCTATTTGCCAGGCTCCACTATTGCCTCTGCATAAAGGTTCCATGGCGTGGATATGGCTCATATTGGAGCAAGTGAGATGACGAGAGGATACTAAACACACGTCTGAGCACATTGTCATCATCCCGACTTCTGGGAAGCCCTTCCAGTCAGTCTTAGCAAAATAAGAGATAAATGAAGAGCTTCCTGAAATCACTCGGATCATTTTATCCTGAATCTCAGAAGGTTAACACAGATGCTAGGAAGATGAAATGTGCTTGAACAAGCTAGAGATATGTTCTCCATGTCACTGCACAATTGATTTGACTGAATTCCGATGTTGCCAAATTAGCCGCATGAGTGTCATGGGAAATGCATTCTTCCAGGGTCAAATCTTTTTCTCTTTGAAACATGACCAAATTTTTAAAACACTAATCTTTAACCCCTCTATCACTAGACCTTGTTCTATACTGTGATGTGACTTTAGGATGCCACAGATGTCCTTCTAGTAATGATGTTGCCAAAACTAGGGAATCAAATGTTCATGCCAAGAACAGAGGCTAGGTTCCCATAGGTGAAAGAGCTTTACTTCCAATTTAGGCTAATGCAATGTGATAGACTTCCAAGGTTTTGTTGGTGATGGCATCATGATGTAATGGGTCAAGACACAGCCTGCAATGCCATGTGGGTGCCAGTTTGAGCCCTGCCTGTTCCACATCAGATCCAGCTCACTGCTAATGAGCTTTGGAAAGCAGCATAAGATGGCCACCTCCTTGGCCTCTACCACCCATATAGGAGACCTGAATGAAGCTCCTGTCTCCTGGCATTGGCCTGGCCCATACCTGGTCATTATGGCCATTTCATGAGTAAAGATCTATCTATCATTCCCTTTCTTTCTTTCTGACATTCAAATACATACATCTTAAACACACATACACACAAAAAACTACATTGACAAGTTTTGAGAAAACAAAAGAAAATAAATTGAAAGACCACAAAATCTGGCTGATCTTAGAGAATGGCTTTCTCAAAGTTTCCAAGTTCAATATGATCATAGTCTTTTGAATAACCCTTCGCTGTACAAAGTGCTGTGCTGAAGTCTTTGGCACTTGCCTGCTAAGATGAAAAGACTAGCAGCAGAGTCTGAAAAGTCTTCTCTAGCAATATGCATGGGAAAAATTACTCTGATCACATCTACTTCGTCCCAGCTCCTCTCTAAAACTCCATTTATATCTTTAATTTTAAAATTGTGTCCTAAGTGTTGTCTTTTACCATGCTACTCATTATCACTCAACTATTTAAAATGATAACTCATGAGTTCAGGAATATTGTTTCTCTTTTTTCTATTTCCAGAATATAAAATGGTATATGGGACAAGGAAGGTTTACAGGAAATATATATAGATTAATTGACCAAAGCACATACAAATTGGGAAAAGAGTCACTAGCACTTTGAATTAGAGAATAACAAAGTGCAAGCAAATTCAGTCAGAGAAATAAAAGGGCCAATTGGCCCAAGAACATCCAAAGCAAAGAGGAGTTATCCCCAATGGTAGACGATTAGGATCTTTTCATGTTATCTCATTTGCACTTTCAGACAGTGGCAGGGTTGAAAGTCAAGATGTAGTGATGGAAAATGTTTAACTGATGAGTTCTGAAAGCTAATGTAATGAGTACAAATGGAGCATCTTCTGGTGGGCCTTTTACACATATTTTTTAGCACACATGGTGTGAATTTAAGAGCAATTCATCACTATGCAAGTAACCAACAGTACCAGGTGCAAGGAAAAATGGCAGAAAGTCTACCAAGCTGAGGGGAGAAGCTCACTGCTTGCTTCCAAAATGAAGCTTGGATGCAATATAGTAAAACAACACCATCCTGGTGACATGGGGTTAATTTTAAGGATGCAGATTCTACCGTGTAAGACAATGTAAATAAAATGAAAAGAAGAAATTGAAGCTAAAAAGGAGAGCAGGAGAGAGTAGGGGGTAAAAAGCCAGAGGAAGAAGTTTGTGGATAAGGGCTCAGGGCATAAGTGGATAGGACTTTCTGCTGAAAGAAATGGAAATTCTATCTGAACTCTGAGAAAAAGAGGTACAGGTAGTTATAAATATGCAACAGGTTTTTTATCTTAGTGGGAGAGAGGAAGTATTTAAAGAAATTATTCATGAATTCTCAAATCCTGTTCAAGCAATAAAAAAGTAAATTTATCTGCAGAGAATAAAAGGATGTACTTAAGTAGCAGGTTTAAGACACCACTGTTGGGTGAAGGTAATGGTTTCTGATGTTCCACAGAACACTAGGGTAACTATGGCCTGCATTAAAGGAAACGGAAGGGCTAAATGCCTGGTGTGAAAGGAATGCTGTGTTTGTATATTGAATTGTTACACTATACCCTACACAATGTACTAATTGAAATTTTAAAAATAAAGTTATAAAATCAAATAATAATTGATAACGTATTTATTTCTCATGTGGGATCTGTCCTTAATGTGTTGTCCAATGTGAAGTAACGCTATAACTAGTACTGAAACAGTATTTTACAATTTGTGTTTCTGTGTGGGTGCAAACTGGTGAAATCTTTACTTAATATATACTAAATTGATCTTCTGTATATAAAGAGAATTGAAAATGAATCTTGATGTGAATGGAATGGGAGAGGGAGTGGGAGATGGGAGGGGTGCGAGTGGGAGGGAAATCATGGGGGGGGGGAGCCATTGTAATCCATAAACTGTACTTTGGAAATTTCTATTTACTAAATAAAAAAAATAAAAAAAAAGGATGAGAACAATCCTCCCTAGGAAGAAAAAAAAAAACGAAAAAAGAAAAACTATTGCTAAGAAATGCTATGGCTCTCACCATGGTAAATGGAAATGGAATTACTATGTCGCCCATAGGCATGTCAATGTTTTCTTCAAAAGTTCTCAGTCTTCCAAATAGGCAAACCAAATCCAGACTGTAGCGACCGCCCAGGAGCAGTCTGCTGTGAGAAAAAGGCAGCAAATGGCCAGGGAGAGAGGTTCAGCTGCATCACCACAATCAGCTGGTGACACATTCTCCTGGCCCTCGTCACTTTGAATTTGGAATAAGTAGTGCAGAATGACCAACCCCCAAACAGAATCTAGCCCTGGCTCTTGCAGGCATTTTGAAAATGAACCTGGGGAGAGATGATCTTCCTCTACCCATCCTGAAGTCACTCTGTCTTTCAAATAAATAAATAAATTTTAAAAAATAATAATTTTGTAGTACATTTATGTTTTATATTCAGTATCTAAGTATTAGGTGAAATCCAGGAGTTTCCCATAAATATGCATTAGACTACAGACAGGCTGGCTGGGTAACTCGGCACCACAAATAAGGTGGGCTTCAAGATGGAAAGGTCACAAAGAGGCCTGCTCTGAGAGAATGAGAGAGATGTGAGGAGACTATCAGCTTTGGAAGGTAACAGAATAACCTATGTATACACTGCTTCAGATGATAACACCTAATATGGATGAAGTTGTAGAATGAAATAGACCATAGCAAACTCTAAAAAAAAAAAAGATAACAGAGATTAGCTGGGATTTGAAAATTACAGTTGTAATTATTAAAAGGCCTTTCTTTTCTCTATTGAAAAAAATATTGATCTAGGAAGTGAAACTACTCAACAATATCACATTATATTCAGATTTATCAGTTCATCCTTTACCAAAACAATATACAAAAGTATTTTCTTTATTCACTTCACTAAGCTCTTAAAAATAGATTTAAAGTATCATTTCTAAAATGAATAGTGCCATACCTAATCAATTTTCAAATAACAAAAACTAGAATATAATTCCATTTATTCAAAGTTCAAGAAATATGAGCACACCCTGACCTATGTTGTAAGAAGTTAGCTCAGTAATCACCCATAGATATAGGTAGTACTGACATGGCCCAAAACATGAGATTTCTGAGCTGCTGGAATATTTTTTCCCATGGTTTGAATGCTGGCTGCACGGATGAGTTCCTATTGTGAATGTACAAGGAGCTGTACCTATTTCTGAACAAATAATATTTTAACAAAAACCTTTTAAAGATATAAATTTAAGAAGGGAGCCAACATTTGCAAAAAAATATTTATGTGCAGAAAAGTTCGCTACAGTCTTATCTATGACACAATCTACACCCTGACACCATCCTAGGCTCTAGCCCTGCTGCCCTTGCTGGAAGCCGGGTAGCCACATGGTCCAACCATCAGTGTCAAGCTCCACCCCTATCCTAATGGGATTCACTGCTCTTACTTCCCTTCCTGCCCCCTGGCAAAGTTTTAAAAGGACCTATTCCTTACCATGTGTCTGTCTGTCTGTCTCTCTCTCTCTTTCTCTCTGTCTTCTGACCTCTGTCTCTGTCTCTCTTATGCTCTCCTCTCTCTCTTTTTCCTTCTTTTCCCTTTCCCTCCAGTCTGTTGGGTTTCCCACAAAAAACTATTTCCCTTAAAAAAAGAAAAAGAAAAAGACAAGTTTGCTGCATATACTATAACAAAAAGTTCTGGCTAACTTATTAGGAAAAAGAAAACTCAAGAGGAAAATGGAAAAAAGAACATTAACAAGCAATTCATAGAAGACATATGAATATTTAATAAACATACTTTTAAGTTATTATGGATCTGGAGATGGCATATTCAAAGAAGTAGTTAACACTCTTTATCTAACAGACTACCAAATGGTACGAATCAAATGGATGATACCATAATGGCCTTCCTTTATTGAGCCCATATCATGTGACAACATACTTTTCTATAGATTTTTTCTTGTAATCTTCATTTAATTTGTCATTTAATTGCTAATTGCCACCTTACAGAAAATATTAGTGATGTTCTCATATAATAATGGTAATGCTAAGCTTCAAGTCAGGCATCCTGACTCCAAAATTTATTATTTTAACTACCATTGAAGTTGCTTTAATGTTAGAACTCTGAATGCCAGCGATGAATACACTTATTCCTATATAAACGTTGATCAATTCACAGGAATAGCATGGGAATTTAAAAATATATTTATTCTATTATGAGGGTATTACAGTTGCTACTTCAATACACTCTATTAGGCGACTAAGTACATCCTAAAGCTAACTTGCAAACTGCCGTGTGATGTTCTTTTTTAATTCATTGCAAATTAAAACTAAACCTATCATTAAATGGAATGAATTCATTTAATTGTACAACTGAAATGGGTGCAAATGTTGGGGTCATAAAGAAGATAGAATTCAGTCATAAATATTGAGAGTGTAGGGATGCTATCATTAACATATATTGATTAATTAAGTAGGAATAATAATGTCTTCATCTTTTATCACCAAAGGTCAACTAAAATAAGGTGGCTCTGAGAACAAGAAAAACAGAGTGTAAAAAGATAAATTTTAGCATTGCTTAATAAATATTTTAATCAAATAAAGCAAAGAAAATCATACATCAAGAAAGACAAAAATGAATAGTAAGCTATCACCAAACATTAAACCCAAAATATCAGTCATATATGTTCACATGTAGATTTACTAAAACTGCCAACTGGTAGAAATCAAAACCCCACAAGCCTCATACAAGAGATAAAATTGAGACAGGCATGTGGTCCAGCAATTAATGCCCTGATTAGGAAATCCTCATTCCATACTGGAGTGCTGTGTTTTAGCCCCAGCTCTGCTCCTGTTTCTAGATTTTTGCTAATGCATATCCTTGGAGGCAGCAGGTGATGGCTGTAGTAGCTGGGTTTCTGCCAATCGTGGGATAGACCATAACTGAGTTCCTAGCTCCCAGCTTATATGTTTGCAGGCATTTAGGGAGTGAACTAGCAGATAGGAGCATGAGCTTGCTCTGTCTGCTTCTTTAACATTTTTAAAAAGAAACTCATTTAAAAGAATGACTCAAAAAAGCTATTGAAAGTATTAAACTATAGTGAGTTGGTAAATTGCCCTTCACCCACACAAAACAATATTTAACAATGCGACATGAAGGAGTAGGGATGAGTCATAAGCCTCTGACTCTTGGTCCTGAATCACATTGAGAACTTATGCAAGAGTATTGACAAGGCATATTACAGTGCCTGCTTAGGTAAAATTGTACTGAGCAGCTGGCTTGGACTCCAAGTGCTCTCCTGAATCCCTAAATTAATTTT